AAATGGGGACCCTGAAATGGGGACCCTGAAATGGGACCCTGAAATGGGACCCTGAAATGGGGACCCCAGAGTGGGGACCCTAAAATGGGGACCCTGAAATGGGGACCCCGAAATGGGACCCCGAAATGGGACCCTGAAATGGGACCCTGAAATGGGACCCTGAAATGGGGACCCCGAAATGGGACCCTAAAATAGGGACCCCGAAACGGGACCCTGAAATGGGGACCCCAGAGTGGGGACCCTAAAATGGGGACCCTGAAATGGGACCCCGAAACGGGACCCTAAAATGGGGACCCCGAAATGGGACCCTGAAATGGGACCCTGAAATGGGGACCCTGAAATGGGGACCCTGAAATGGGGACCCCGAAACGGGACCCTGAAATGGGACCCCTGAAATGGGGACCCCGAAATGGGGACCCCGAAACGGGACCCTGAAATGGGACCCTGAAATGGGGACCCTAAAATGGGGACCCTGAAATGGGGACCCTGAAATGGGGACCCCAGAATGGGGACCCTGAAATGGGGATCCCGAAACGGGACCCTGAAATGGGGACCCCAGAGTGGGGACCCTAAAATGGGACCCTGAAATGGGGACCCTGAAATGGGGACCCTGAAATGGGGACCCCGAAACGGGACCCTGAAATGGGGACCCCAGAGTGGGGACCCTAAAATGGGGACCCTGAAATGGGGACCCTGAAATGGGGACCCTGAAATGGGACCCTGAAATGGGAACCCCGAAATGGGGACCCTGAAATGGGGACCCCAGAGTGGGGACCCTGAAATGGGGACCCTGAAATGGGGATCTCGAAATGGGACCTGAAATGGGGACCCTAAATGGGACCCCGAAGTGGGAATCTTAAATGGGAATCCTGAACGGGACCCCTAAAATGGGACCCCAAACGGGACCCCAAAGTGGGGACCCGAAATGGGAATCCTAAATGGGACCCCAAAACAGGACCCTAAAGGGGACCCCAAAGCGATCTTAAAATGGGAATCCTAAAATGGGACCCCCAAATAGGATTTTTTTTGGGGGGGTCCTGAGGGTTTCACCCCCTTTTTCCCCCCCCCCCAGCATCAAACGCAGCAACTGCCCCATGGTGTGGGGTTTTTTTTGGGGGGG